TGATTCTGCGACATAATCGCCGCCATTCAGGTCTGGCTCCCTCGAAATACGACGCGTATCCTACTTGTACTCTGACACATTCACTAACCGCATCTTTATTCAAGAACAATTATTACAACAAAATGACAACAATTACAAACGTGACAGTTTACTACGTACGAGATACCGGGAGGATCCGAGAGTAACATGCCTGAAACGGAAAAAAAATCATATGAGAAGGTATACTGCGGTATTAATTTCCAAACAAATTAATGGTTTTCACTCATAGAAAATACCACTAAATCTCTTGCAATTCATGCATCAAGCACTCATCCAGATACTTCACATCTGGATGAGACTTTAGAACAAGTCCATGCATTCGACTAATGGTAGCGAAGTAAGGCCCCGTTCATAGATCGCGGTTAATGCGATTTAGCGATTATGCTGACAGGAAGACATACGTATCGATCTAAAATTTGCCGATTACGCGAAAAAAGCGGTTTGACGATATGGCGGTTATGTTCAAAGGAGAAAGGGTGCACATTGATCGAACTGACGCCGCCCAATAACCATTCGTCGATGCGATATGTCGACGATCCTCAGTCGATACGCATACATTCCTTTCAACACAATCGCTATATCGCCAAATCGTCAAATCGCATTAACCGTGGTCTATGAACGGGGCCTAAGAAGTATTCTTTACTACCTTGACAAACTCCGAAGTTGAGATGGTACACAACCAATGCATGCACAGAGGAACAAGTGGTTACTGAAACACCAATGTGTAGTCAATGACAACTCTCAGAACAAAGAATTACCACTTTGAAAAGTTGATGAAACTAGTACAAATGTAATGATAACACAATGTTACGGAAAGCCTTTCTCAAGTAACCTGTAAATTAAATCTTCGCACGCTTTGGTGCATTAAGCTCATCCAACTCCTCTGGAGGCGCCATACTCTTCCTCTTTCGTGATTCTTCCTCCACAGCTGGTTTCTCTTCTCCACTATCTTGTACGATCTGAACAATTATCAATCACTCAGTGATATAAATCTGGGTAAGTTTATCAGCAAAAAGTAATAGAAGAATAATCTAATCATACCTCGAACTCATCTCCTTTCATAGTCTTACATTCACTCAGAATCAATCTAAGCTCGAGTTTCTGATGGAAATCGTCACAAGTGAGCATAGCACCGTTTCCGATTGACAGCTCTTCTAGAGTTTTGGGCTCAAGATCTGAAAACCGCACAGCTGACATCCATCAACAAATTCCAACTTTGGGTTGCTCTGCTCTTTACATGGAGTGCAGAACTGGAGCTGAGCGAAACTTGTCTTTTCACTATAGATTCAAAAAAGCTAGTATGACGTAATAAATGCTCTCTATGGCTCCAAGATCAGAAAATTCCCCATGAAAAAACATTTCTTTCATCTAGCTTTGAATTTTATCCGCAATTTGTCACCCAACAACAATTGGGTACCATTTCCTAACTGTCCTAACCATTTAATCAGTCTAATCAGGCTAATAAGATCAAAATTTACATAATTCACATCGGTTTCAAAATGGGGTCCCAGAATAGTGGGCTTTATGCGGCAACGTAGCAAATTACGAGATCCGCAGTTTTTTCTTCACACTTTTATGAGATATAGCAAACAATTTTAAATGGCCTTGCCCACACCTTTCCGTATTACGTGTTCTTCCGTGAAGATACCGGTCACCCACATTAAAGAAGTAATCCCGATAAATTGTTTCAATCACTCCACGTTTTCTCCTCCAAAGGGAAAAAAACAATACACACATAGCCATATGAAGCTTCTCACATCACTGTATGCATGAAATAGAGAAAAAGAAGAAAAAGTGTAATGCTCAACATACCAGTGGTTTCGCCCTCCTCACTACTTATAATGATGCGAGATGTTGTTGCCTCCATCACATCTGGCTCAACCATATTCAATGCTCCTTTCAGCACCTGAAAAGTAGAACGAATTACTTGCCTCATATAGCAGATAACAAATACAGTGCAAGCAAATGGGAATAAAACGATACAAAAGTGATAAAAGTAAACAGCAACAGTCTGATAAGTTACTTATTTCGACCAACCTTGTCTTGAAGGGATTTGACAGTCATCAGAGCCGGATTGAGGCGCACATGACATTCGCGCTTCTCTGAGCAGACAAAACATTTGGGATTGGGCTCAAAGGGGATCTGATCCACAAGAATCTAAATTTTTTACAAAATCAAATAAAGGCTAGTAAAAGCAAAAAGTTAATCTGGAAACCAATGAATTTTACCTTTCCCCTCGGATTTGGTTGGAGACTTATGAACACCACTCTGAGCTTGTCGAGATTGCCAGAAATAATTTTGGATGCTTCCACAACCATCATTCCAGCAACCATTGCATTCGTTGTGGCAATAGCAGGTATAATATTACCGGCCATAGCTGAAAATGACCCATGATTAAGGAACCACCGTGAGCTATTCAAGGTTTCAAAACTCACATTTGATCTCGAAGAGCGATTTACACGGAATCCCAAAAATCGTAGCGCGGACATTAGCGCATGCAGCAACAAAACGCATAGCATCATCATCATCTTTGTCCCAATGAAGGATTTTGTCTTCAGCTGCATTTTTGCGTCGGCTGAGAGCTGACACACATTCACAGAAGACTTCTGCACATTCCGCCAATGACCAAATCTAAACGTGAGCTACACTAAATAGGAGTTCTATATATAAACAATATACATAGGTAAATAGACAATATAGTTCACTACCCGGGCTGTTCACTTCAATAAATCAACTAGGACCTCAAGAAAGAAGAGAAGATGGCGATAAGTGTTTCTCTCCTTATGATCTATCTTCATTAAAACCAAGATGTCTAGTCGTCGAATCAAATCAACCAAAATGTCTTCAATTAACTCCATCCTAGTCAAACTGAGTCATCATGTTACTGCCTGACTCTACGATAGAAAAGAAAAATTTGCCAAGATCATCGTAGCTATCCCATAAAAAGCCCGCACCAATAGGGTTGGTCGACGTACCACTTGGACCTGGTCCTTTAAAACCCATCAATCTGGTGCTCCCGCTGCGCTTTCTCGTCCGAACAGCGGCTCATGGCTACCGTGATTCGACACGTTCACACTGCCACACTGTGAGTGGCTCCCCTACCCTGAAGCCGTATTCAATCCTTCCCCCAGGGGGATATATCCCCCTCCTCTGATTCAATCCTCTGGGGGGACAAAAAAGGGTTGCGTCATAGGACCTAGCATACCTCTGTGTTTCTACCTGCCAGACAGTTAGAGCAGCGCGACCCCTCAGGGGAAAGAGTGCTTCATCAGTGGAGGGTAGTAGCGCTGCTCTAACTGTCTGGCAGGTAGAAACACAGAGGTATGCTAGGTCCTATGACGCAACCCTTTTTTGTCTCCCCAGAGGATTGAATCAGAGGAGGGGGACCATCCTCTGGAGGAAGGATTGAATACGGCTCCTGGATCTCCCTAATCCCGCTTAGATTCGAAAGCTCGAACTCTCTTCCATTTACTCTGGGCGAGTGCAGGGACGTTGTCCTCGTTGACCTGTGGCTCTAGGGCATATCATGGGAGTGACCATGAAGGAAGTATCAAAGCATCCCGTAACACGCGTTTTGACGATGCCACATGAGGAACAGAAACGCATCGTAATATTCGAATAACCTAACTTGTTTTAGAACATATTGACTATAGTGGTCAACATACCTTATTGGCATCGTCTGCAGAATCACTCGATCCAGATGAAGATGCGCTCGCAGCGCTTGCGTCAGCTTTTCGCAGTGGCGTGGGAGGACGGCGCTCGCGCCAAAGATGTTCCAAACGAAGAAGATAGCTGATATCATCGTAGAATAACTGAAATCCTAATTTTATTTCGATCGCTTATTTGAAGACGAATCCGGTAGTAGAAAAGGGCTATGCAGCACCACTGCTATTGGTGTGGGTGGGTGAGGCCCTTAAAGCACGACTGGTAATCATGCATCTGGGCCCTTTTTGCCCTCTCTTATTAAACACTAATGATTAGCTTTTCACACGAAACGTGTACGGGCAAATCAACAAACTAATACGAACTCTGCATCTAAAAATGATACCTTATCAAAAATCTTCTCCGGATCGTAGTTCACATTCTCAGCCAAACACGAGTGCTGATTGGCTTTGGTTCGTCTGAAGAATCCATGGACTCCTCGCTAGTGCCGTTGGATGAAGCCACTCCATTCATTGCTTCATTGGCCTTCTTGTGCTCTTCAGCGGCAGCGGTTTCGACTTGAGGATGCCCATCTCCAGCTCTTTCGCCTTTATCGGTTAAATCCGGTGATAAGTGTGTCATCAGATGGTTCCCCAAAGCTCAGCAAAGCGTATTGGCTAAAGTCAATATTTAGTTAACTATATCAATTACGAAACACGGAATAAAAGCGAAACATAGAAGATGAAGTAAAAGTTTACTTGAATGCATGCTTTGACCACACTGTGCAGTGAATGTGCTCGCTTGGTGTGTTCCTAATTGTACACCCTGGGAAGGTCCTCTCTTGCGCGGGTTTCGGCACACACTCGTAGCACTCAGTACGTTCACGCAAGATTGGTCTAACCTAAAATAGAAGAGATACACGAACTCTAGAAGACAAAGTAGTAAATGAGTCATCAACTGAGAGAGATCTTCGAAAACAATATAGTTCTCCTCCACAAAACTTCATATACAGTACCTGACCCATATATCCAGAAGAACCACTTTCAACGAGCGGAACCTTAGCAGCTAAACACATCCTGTTCACGTCACATTGGTTTGGCCAGCTGAAATCGAGAGGATGAGGCATCATGAAAAAAATATGGAAATATCACAGAAGATCCAAAACTAAAGAGGTACCTCTATTATCGAGTGCATTCATGACCAAAAAGAACTGTTGGAAGAAAGGCAAGTTGAATTTGGAACTGGAAAAAAATTATAACCAAGGAAAAAAGTTTAATGATGAAGTATCACTAATGGCAAGAGGAAAATTTCTTGCACGATTCTATGTTTCTGTGCAGGCGCTTTAAAGCACGTGCTTCAGAGCTTCCTCCAAAATATTTAGCCAAACCCGTTCAATCTTTCCGCTGAAAGAATACCGAGTGGGTTCAAACAGAGATGCGTAGCCTTCGGCCACCACAACTTCAGTGTTGAGCAGGGGTTTATTGCTTGATCTTAACTCGTGAGAAAACTTGGTCCCCCGCAATCACGGAATGGTGACATTGTTTGTGGCTTATGTACCATCGTTTTCCAATTAAGTCCAGCAATCTCCCCACAAAAATTTCATTGACAGTACTAGCAGGACGGGGCTTTGATTAACTTAATCAAAAGTTCCAACTTGTTTTTGAGAAAAGATAAGGGAAGAATACGCCCCCACTCTAGACAGGCTACACTCCCCCTGGCTCAGGAATTCCCCACTTCACATCAGGGGCGGTATTCAATCCTTCCCCCAGGGGGATATATCCCCCTCCTCTGATTCAATCCTCTGGGGGGACAAAAAAGGGTTGCGTCATAGGACCTAGCATACCTCTGTGTTTCTACCTGCCAGACAGTTATATAATGACTGGATGAGTTTAGTTTATCCGCGCGCTCTCTCGCGGGTCCCTCTCCTCTCCAAGGCTTAGTCCTAGGGCATTCACCCGTTCTCTAATCGTCTGTGCTCTAGCCATCGCGGCAGGACCATTGAGGAAAAATCAAGTAGTCCGTAAACCAGCTCCCCTTCCCCGAGCCACGCCCCCATAAGTAATTGCCAAATCACTAAAATGGAAAATCTTCTATGCTGTGTTTACAACCGCCAACAATATTTCAGGAGAAACAGATCTCGTGTTGAATGGAGCCTTCCTGCGTGTATGAGACAAATAACTAAATAATGTGTTTAGCTGACCTACCTAAATATACTGTCGAGATCGTAGGTGATTTTAATGTCAGGACGAAGTTTACGAATGGCCTCCGTTGCAACTTCAGCTTTTGATTTGCCGACATGCTCACGGCGGAACAGAAACTGACGATTCAGATTGCTAACATCAATAGTGTCCATATCAACCTAAAGTGGCTATTGAAGAAGAGTAATTTCCATGGAAGAAAGCTATCAAAATTGATGGATTTGACAAAGTAAAAAACAAAAACAAATGCAAAAAAAGGAATACAATCAAGGATCAGTGAAACAAAAGCAAGAATAACCACTCACTACATGAATATCCTTATAACCAGTTAGGGCTAAGTTTTTCAGCAATTCACATCCTACTCCACCAGCTCCTACAACGAGGACGCGTTTTCCCTCAAGTTTTTCTGCCTCCTTCTCCTTCCAACCCATTTTGTAAAGAAGGCTGAAAAGAAAGTACATAGTTATACACTAAAGCAAAGCACCACGAAAAGCAGAAAACAATAAAGCCAAGAACAGCGCCATGTCATTTTCATCAACAAAAAAAAAAACAAAGGAAATAAGGAAACATAAATCCCACTGGGCCAGGAACTTTTTCGAACATGCTGCCGTAACATCGTGCTGCGTCTGCAATTGCACAAAACCTGTTGGATCACACGCGACTTATCGAAGGAGGTACCTCTTCGATGTGTTCCCTCTTCGTCCTATGCAGAAGATGTTCCGTTATTATTTTTGTATGCACATTAGCAAAGAAGTAGGGGTTCCGTCGCAATGGCAATATACGCGTCGATTTTCGGTACGGTAGGCGCGATGTTGGAACCGTGCTTTTTTATGTGCCGTGAACCAATTTGGCGTTTCGCTTTTACACCCACCCTGATCTTTATTCATCCGCAAAGAATTGGGTGCTAACTTAGTTGGGGGGGGCCACGCGGCGGCGCGGCAGTCTGCTCGCCTGGCATGTTCGGAAATCCGTGGGCCAGGGGGAGTGTAGCCAGCTAGGGGGGGGGGTGGGGGCAGTCACTTGACATGCGTGAAAAGCTGGAATGTTCGAGTTTACACTGTCTCGCTCGAGAGAGCCCAGGTGAGCAGACTGCCGCGCCGCCGCGTGCCCCCCCCCAACTAAGTTAGCACCGAATTGTCAGCTTTGAACTGTCGCTCCAATTCTATGGGC